CGTTTAGTAGGAAAATTAAATTACGACCATATCTTAATTATTTATGCAAAATATATAATTTTGACATGTATGTATGCGATTTTTACATTTTTATTTTTTATTTGTTACATATCTTCTCTTCTCTTGGGCACAACTAAATGCGATATTTAAAATTTAAGTCATTGATTAGGTTATTTCTATAATGTATTATTAATCGAAAAATTCTAAATAGAAAGAATTTGTGAAACATAAAGAAACGCCTAAAATAATATATTGATATTTGGAAGACTATATAAAAATGTTGGAATAAACAATTTCCTTTTTGGATAAAATGTGGCGGCTCACGAGGATACAACAAATCATTAATCTACAAACCGAAATTCGTGAGTTTAAACAAACTTAGAAATAACCACGAAAATAAACAAAGCGCTGCTCAAAATTTGTTACGAATAGTGTAACGCAAATTAATTGGTACGTGCGCATGTACGTACATACATTTACATATTCTAATCCAATTCAAAAAATTAAAAATATTAAAAGATGGTCGGTTACTTTTTCAAGAATATTTTCCAAAACTAACTTTTAAGAAAAATGACGAAAGAACCAATATATTGGGTTGTATGTGGTTTAAAGGTCATATTTCTTTTGGCTTTTATAATCCTCTGGATATGTCAAGCCATAATTAATCCATTTAAAGAGACTTTTAATGATTATAATCGATTATTAGCTGAAGGAATAATTATGGCAGCTTTATTTGCGCTATCTATAATATATTTTTTTATCGAATTATATTTTTTTTACACATCTAAACGACAAGGAGCAATCCTTAATATACATATATGTATAAACTCACTAATATCCCCCATTTATTTTAGTTCTTCTTTAGCTCTAACTATTTTAAATATTAGTAGTGAGCCAATTTGGGATTTATATTCTATAATGACTGTGTCATTATGGGTCATATCAGCACTCACACTAATTCAGGATATTGCGTTTATACAAAAGGATATTAATTGCTTTTTTTTTAAATTAGTAAAGGAAGTATTTATTGGAATTTATTTAGCATTTTATATTATTCTATTTATAAAATTCTCATATTATAATTCTTTTAATGTTAGTACTGGTTATTTTAAGAATCTTTTAATTTCTTTTATTATTGGGATCCTTAATTTAGCGTACGATATAACTTATGTGATCAAAATGAAGTGGGGAGAAGGAAATAGGAACAAGAATTATATTATTGATATGATTATTCTCATAACATTTGCGATGGTTTATTTTGGTGTTTTTTTTACAAATACTTATTTTTTATTGGGAAAAGTTTATACTATTATTGATGTTTTAGTTATAATTATTATGACTTGTTATTTTGTAGAAATTATTGCATCCGTGATTGATAAAGAAAGAGTCAGAATTATAGAGTAGAGGTATTATCAAGCACCTCACTCAATAAATCGGTGGTAAATTTTTATTTGGTTGGAAAATTGAATGAATTAACTAAGAGAGTTACTATTTCGATAAACAAATCAATCCATCTTTTTTCTTCAAAAATTTACCATTAATAAAGGTCATTAAAGCATAACTATTGCATTATTTCACATATCAAACATATTAAATAATAAATTGGAAACAAATTTTTATCTAATCCAAAAAAATAACTTTTTTCTTTTTAAATCTCGAAGCTTTTAAAACAAATTATTGATACATTAATGCGAATGTAATAAACACGACCTAACTTTTTTTTAACCTTTAATCGAATATTGCTGTTTCGTTTTTCGCTAATTTTATTAGTCTCTCGATCAAAAAGTAGATTTGGGATAAATATTTAACAGATAATGAAGGTTCAAACATTTTCATATTATCTATGCTACTTTCAGTGTGAAGTAGCAAGTGCAAAATTACAATAGGTTGTCTATAAATTTTTTTTTTTAAATTTAAGTATTAATAACGGAAAAATTTACTCCTTGTTGCCGTAAACAACTTGTTTGGCCGCTGGTTGAATAAAATTTTTTTATTAGGTTTTTTTAGAAGGCATAATGAAGATTATGAAAATCAGTAAGAGTACGTTTTAAAAGGGGTCCTGAGTAACACGTGAAATTTGCTGCTTTTATTTTATTTATGTTATCTTATTATTATTATTTTTATTCGATTATTTTATTTTTTTTTATTAACGAAGTGAGAAAAATGGAAGACAACGATATTTGCCTAAAAATAGAACTTACATGTAACGTTCGTTCAATTTTGAACGAACTAGCCAAGCCCCCTCTACTCGTTCAATTTCGAACGAATTTGCCTCATGCAATTCAAAATGGTTATCTTTTAAAATAGAAAAGGAGCATAATTAGCATAGTCCTTGTATACTTAATATTGTAAAGTAACAAAATACCGCTCTTATGTACGCAGTAATGGTCGAAAAGTATATAAGACCAAACTTTTCGCTTTAATAAAGGATAACTCAGTTGAGTTCTATAACTTCGAAATCTTTCTAGTAGAAGTTGGTTCTCTAAATAAAATCTCCTTGTCGCTAAAATTTTGTAACGAAATACTTATCGTAATTACTTGTCCCGTGACCCATATAAAATCATGTGAGAAAACTTAATAGATTAGTAATCAGACCCCTTTAAATACAAAACAATTAATCTTTCGATTCGTCATTATTATTAATCACCATTGCGTCAAATAATCGAAGTTATCGAAGATCCGATTTCACTAACACGTGACCACGTGACAATCGTTAGAGCACTGACGATTACTTTTAGTAGTGATAGATTAGATTTTTGGGTTGTGTTTAGTTTTAGTTAGTTGACCCGATTATTTCTCACGTTTACAACGTTCAAGTATTTAATTCTAGTGAAGTTTGAGCATTATCATGATCATTATTTATTAATTGATTAAGATGCTTGTGAAAGACACCCTTGGATGATTGAGTATTTGTTGTTTAGAGAATCAGCTTCGATTATTACAGGTATATTTAGCAATTATGGTGGCCAACTTACTTTAATCGCTGATTATTGCAGGTATATAATACATATATATAGTTTTATATTTTGTATGGTCCAATAAAAACGAATAACTTTGTCTTCTACGTAAAGTTCTCTGGGAGTCTGATCTTTTCCTGATTCTTTTACTCAATGAACGTTGTTGGTACTGTATTTCGTTAAAGCTATGAATTTATTAGTGAAATGTTACATTCTTAAAAATTAAACATAAATTAGTACTTCAGACAATTTGATTTACATCATCGTCTCCCAGAATGTTGGATAACTAGATAGCTGCGCGATGCTGCCGCACAAAACCAGGAACAGAAGATCTAAGCAGAGAACAGAATCAATGCATTTGACACTATAAACTTATTCATAGTTATGATGCATTCCAGTACAAATAACGCTGGATATACAAACTTTTTATAAGAGAGTTATAGCTAGTGCTCTGAACGGGTCGAGCCGGGTCAGGTTTTGAGCCAACCCGAACCTGACCCGAAATTTTAGGTAAATTTTTTTTAAAAAATGAATTCAATCGCCCTTTTTGCTCTTAAACGTTTAATAATTCATGTAATGATGATCATTGGAGTTGGCTAATCAAATCTAAGCGCGGTATCCCTATAAAAAAAAATTATTTTAAATATGTTTAGTATTTATATTATAAACCTTATTAATAAAATTTATATTAAATTTGTACCAAAATTGCAACATTTCAGTACAAATTTATTTAAAATTTGTATAGAATATCAAAAATATTTATACTATATTTATACATATATTATTCCGCAAATATAATTTAAATTATTATATTTATATGAAATTTATATAAAATACTACAAGTATTTGTACTATATTTATATGAAATTTATATAAAATACTACAAGTATTTATACTATAATTTTATTAAATTTATATAAGTATTTATACTATATTTATATATATATCGTTTTGCAAATGTAGGTATAATTTATTAGATTTATCTAATAACTGTTCTATATATGTATAGCAATTTAATTGAGTTTGTTCTATTTTTATACAGAATACATTTTCATTTTAATCTAATATGCTGCACGGATAATAATTTTATAATTTAAAAAAAAACTAAATTAGTTTTTTTTATTAGTTGAATGCTTTTGAAGAGAACGATAAGATTGGACTTGTTTTTTGCTAGTAACAATATTCTTCGATTTTTTAGCTGATACCTTATTTTTCTTTAGTCGATTGGTTATTATCTAAATAATATAAAGTTTAAATATATTAGTAGTTTAAAATAAATAATAAATTAATAATGCCAGTAAATTCAGAAATTTTTTCGATAAATCAATAATACCAGTAGATTCGGAAATAGTTTCTGTATTAGCAGATCTCTTAGATGTATTTTTTTCTTTGGTCGATTGGTTATTATCTAAATAATATAAAATTTAAAAATATCAGTAGTTTAAAATAAATAATAAATTAATAATGCCAGTAAATCAGAAATAGTTTCAATAAATCAATAATACCAGTAGATTCGGAAATAGTTTCTGTATTAGCAGATCTCTTAGATGTATTTTTTTCTTTGGTCAATTGGTCATTATCTAAATAATATAAAATTTAAAAATATCAGTAGTTTAAAATAAATAATAAATTAATAATGCCAGTAAATTCAGAAATTGTTTCGATAAATCAATAATACCAGTAGATTTGGAAATGGTTTCTGTATTAGCAGATCTCTTAGATGTATTTTTTTCTTTGGTCGATTGGTTATTATCTAAATAATATAAAATTTAAAAATATTAGTAGTTTAAAATAAATAATAAATTAATAATGCCAGTAAATTCAGATAAATTAATAATACCAGTAAATTCAGAAATATTTTTTTTTTTGTTCGATTGGTTATTATCTAAATAATAATAATATATAAAATAAAATTTAGAAATATTAGTAGCTTATAATAAATAATATAATAAATTATCAAACCAGTTAATTCAGAAATAGGTTTCATATTAGCAATATTGTTATTTGAATCCTTAAGTCCTTTTTGGTTAACTTAGCATTAGTTCATTTTTTTTTATTTTTTGTAATAATTTGATATTCATTTCCTGAACTTTGATTTGCTTGTTCTTGCTCATCCTGATTTTCTTGTTCATTTCGATTCTCTTGTACTTGCTTATCCCAAATATCTTGTATTTGTTCATCCTGATTTTCTTCTTGCTCATTTTGACTCTCTTGTTCTTGATTATTCCAATTCCTTTGTTGCCTATCTCGACCAATATTATTATTTGAAATCTGTTCATTGTCATTATCATCATTCGAAATATCTTTATCAAGAGAATATTTTTTTCTTTTTTGTATGTTAGTTGGCGCTTTTAATTTATTTTTTGTTATTTTCGTAGCTGAATTATTTTGAACAGATTTGCGTAAATATTCACCTAAATTTAATATAAATATTTATATTAGTAATAATAAACAATAATCTTTAGAAACGCATTAGTAATATCAAACTTAGTAATAAATATAACACCAAGATTTAATTTCATATAGTTTGCTTAACATTATTTTATAACCAACACATCCGATTTAGAACTTGGTGAAGATGCATATCAAATAATTCATTCCGATGTATATCTTTTTTTAGAAAATTTTTGCTATAAGACTTGGACTTAATAAGCTTTTAAGATTTTGAAAGAATATACTTAAATATTAAACGAGTTTCTATGTTAGTTAAAAAAAAAAAAAGTAAGGATCTTCTAAATTGAATACAAATTCATATTGTATATAAATATACATACATATAGACACCGATACTGCTATAAAACGTTTTGGGTTTGTATCACCCATATAAACAAATATTTTGTTGTTGTGTAAACCAGCGGGGTTGACAACCTCTAGTTGCTTTGTTTGTACGAAGGTAAATATTGTTCCAAGGTAGCAAAAAATTATTATCTGCTGTTGTGATTTGTTCAATAAAGAGAATTTTGTTGTTTTTGAGACTATTAATTGTGAGATT